TGAGATGGCAGCCAGACGCCTCTGTAATAGCCACTAACACTTATTATCCTCCCCGAGATTGGAAATCCATGTGTTGTCATTGAGGGATCTCAAGACAAGTTAAGCGAAAAAAATAGATGCGTTTCTTTTTTCTCTCTCTCTCAAGCATACCTCTTCAAAACAGATGTGCGTGTCGTGTTGTAGGAGCACTGCGTTGGTGTAGGTGGGCTGTAAGGCAGAAGTGGTTTCCAATGTAAGGAAATGGCCTGTTCAGAGTGGTTAAGTCACTAACTGAGCGAGATAATGCCTTGGGGTGTTTGAGGCGGAAAAATGCGACGTCTCCTCTGCCAGCGCCGAGGCAGCTGTTGTTTTGCATCGTTCCCGTCCTCTCCTTCGCTTGACTTTGCAGAGGATGCGGAGAAGGGCCCTCGGTATCGGTACTCCTTCATTAAGAGATCCTGTTAGCAGTGCCGGTCTTGTCATTAGGAGCGCTCAAGGTTTTTGATTTGCTGCCGTTTCCAGTGCTCAGTCGAGAGCTCAACCTGCCGATAGCGCCCTGAACTCTGACAAAGGCGGCGTGCGGGATCGTTACCTGTTCTTACCTGCTACACTTGATGCAGTTAGAGATTGTGGTTGGCAGTTTTGGTTCTTTGATAATCTGAAAATTCTGGAAATTTTAAGATGGCAATGCTAGTAAAAATATATCTGTCAAGATCTGACCAGTATACATTTACTCTTATATTATCTGTTTTACAATTGTGTCCTGCTGTGTATTCAGTAATTTTGCAATAGATAAGCAATATCAAAAAGATAGAGAGGGTTTTAATACTTTTTGCTTTGACGTCTGTTTTCTCTTTCTTTCTTTCTTTATTTATGTCTGTCTGTCTGTCTGTCTGTCTGTCTCTCTCTCTCTCTCTCTCTCTCTCTCTCTCTCTCTCTCAACAGTTATTTGCTGCTTTTTTCTCTTTTTTTTGTTTTGAACTTAACCCTAAATTGTAAAAGTTAGAGAGTACTGCTGGCACATCTTACCCCACTACTGGGGTGATCTAACTTGCAGTTATGTGGGGTTGGATGAAACACTGTAGAAAACATGGACACTAGAAAATTTTGCACACATTTGTTTTGTTACTCATCATCATTTATTTATTTATTTGTTTTACAAAATGTAATTTTCATTTTAATATATACCAATCCTGATCAACCCCACTTTTTAAAATAGTTTTGCTACACTGTAAAAAAAAAAAAAAAAAAAAGCTGTAAATAACTTGAAGCTGTAAATAAAACAAATATTAGTGGAGTAAGTTTAGAAGAAAATATTATTTCAGTTTTTCTACTTTCTAATTTCACATTTAATGTGTTACTTGCTCTTTCTTTATAATTGTTTGTTATATTTGCATGCAATTTCTGAGTCTATTTTTTCTTTGTTTTTTTAGTGTACATATTAAATTAATAAGAGAACCTGCTGATTCAGATGGTGCCGGTCCTGTCATGTAACATTAAAACCAATTTGTAACTTAGTAGTGAAAATTCTGATTTTTTTCCCCCCTCTAAGTTCTTGTTAAATCTGACCCTAGTCTCTTCGATATTCATTTGTGCACTTTTGAGCAGTGAATAACTTGAAGCTGTAAATAAAACAAATATTAGTGGAGTAAGTTTAGAAGAAAATATTATTTCAGTTTTTCTACTTTCTAATTTCACATTTAATGTGTTACTTGCTCTTTCTTTATAATTGTTTGTTATATTTGCATGCAATTTCTGAGTCTATTTTTTCTTTGTTTTTTTAGTGTACATATTAAATTAATAAGAGAACCTGCTGATTCAGATGGTGCCGGTCCTGTCATGTAACATTAAAACCAATTTGTAACTTAGTAGTGAAAATTCTGATTTTTTCCCCCCCTCTAAGTTCTTGTTAAATCTGACCCTAGTCTCTTCGATATTCATTTGTGCACTTTTGAGCAGTGAGAATTTTGGGATTGATAGTAGATTTGTCAATTGGCAGAGAAATGTCATTTTCAGGTGCTTCCTGCTGGGGTGCAGGTACTGTAACCCGCTCCCTCTCCCCTCTGCAGCCGTCGGGCTCCCTGAACCACCCAATGCGTGCCAGCTCCCTTGCGGCTGCTGAGAAATTGCTCCTGACAGCTGATTTGTTGGTTGTCAGAACTGGTCGCTGTGCGGCTGATAAGGGCGCAGAGGCCCGAGATGGAAAACTAACTGCCTCTCATGATTTCAAAGGCAGCCCCATCAGCCTGGGGCCTGCAGACACATGTAAATGTCTCTGGGCTGAAATCACCAGGGATGTTTCCTCCATGTGCGGGGCCGCTCTTTAAAGAGTTAGTCTGCGCTTAGCATGCAGCGTCTGGCCATGTAGAAAAGCATTGCAAATGCCACCTTTTAAATGTTTCATTTCAGACTCTTTGTTTGCATGCGGTTATTGTTGCCCTGACTGTACAAAACATAGCTTTATATGAATCCTGCTGGGTCCTTTTTAACAAAGAACCAAAGTACTGTAAATGAACAGAGGACACCAGGCAGCAGTAATCAAGCCCTGTGACTAATCAGGCTTGTGCAAAATTCAGAATCTATAAATACTCTTTTTGATTCATGAGTTTCAGTTGAATTAAATTGAAAGTCTGTCTGTCTGTCCGTCTGTCTATCTATCTATCCATCTATATCGTTCTGTCGTTCTATCATTTTATCTATCATTCTATTGCAATTCTTTGTTAACTCAATTTAAATTCAGTTGAAATTTAGGATTGGAATTATAGAGGTATACAATTCAGTTGAATTCGGTTCAGACCATTCAAATCTTTTCTGATTAGCTGACACTGAGGGCCTACTTGACAGTATTTAATTATATGAATATGGCTCTGGGCTGACTAGCTCATCTATCAAATGAAGTAAAGAAAAAAAGTGACTTCTACAGTACAACAAGCTACATTGATTCACCCCCAGATCTGTGCTAGGGAAGGTGGAGCAGAGTAGTTAGGGGAGTGGAGCAATGGGGAGGACCTGGTCCAGCCTGCAGCGAATCATCAGGTCTGATCAGTCACAGGAAGCTCTAATAGGCTTGTACGGGAAGCCATTGCGAGCGAAGAGGTCACTAGGTAATTGGCTGTGAATCCTGTTCCAGCATCCTCCCATGGGGCGGCTGCTCCTATAACTCACTTCCTGTCAATGATGTCAACCCTCGAGGGTCGATGAGGGGCTGCTGGCCGTCTTCCAACTCTGGAGAAGATGACAGTGTGGCAATGACCGTAGATCACCCCTACAGCCTGTACATACAATAATTGCCCTTAATTACCTCATGCCCCAATACAAAGCCCTCATGCGGTTCCAGCGTAGCTAATACCCCATCAGTCAGCACAGCTACGGCGTTCTGTCAACTCTTAACAACACGCCATCCACCTTTGTGTTTACCCCAGCAGGGCGAGGACTGGATTCTACTGTCAGGGAGCAGATAATTCAGCCAGTGTTTTCTTCCCCAAACAAAACAAACTGTACGTATAATCACTGAGAGGTCACACGACACTGGACCAGAGGCCACCTCTTGTTTATCCCGTGCCCTCTTATCATCCCTCCCGCCTCTTCATCTGCTCTTATCACGGCTGGTGTTGAGAGGGGCTCCATGGCTTCCTGTTTTGGGCTTGCTGTCAACCTCTTTGACCTGTTGACCCCAGGACTTATCTCTCACTTTTCTTAAAAGCCAAAAGCCTTGTCTAAAAGCAGCAGGGCAAGTGCTCTATTTTTGTTCTTTTTGTTTCTGTTACTTGAAGGCTTGTAAACCGCAGCACATTAAGTGTGAGAGTGTGGTTGTATGAGGAAGCAACTTTTAGAAATTTCTAAGTTTGCTTTAATTATATGGGGAAAAAATATATTTTTCCCCCATTTTAAAAGTTTTGTTTGGCCATGGTGTGAAAAAAAGAAAGTATCTTGTAGTTAGTTGCAAATGTTTTGTTATATCTATTACATTATTCAAACATAAAATTACTTGCATACACCTCTTGTATGATGAGGTGCATGCATGCTATGATGTGCATGTTTTTCATTTATGTATTAAATAGACTTTTTATATATTATTAGTAACATTATAAAAAATTATTTTTGGAAAATTATTATATGGATTACTAGGTTATTTGTAGTAGCATCATTATTACAAATATTGTAACAAAACTGCTTATACATACACCCAAATGTATTAAAGTTGTAAGGATTTTTTTCTTTTTATTTAATGTTTACACCACATGACATTTCATTAAATTTAAACTTTAGTTGAAAATAGCAAGTGTCTACTGGGCATTTATGTCACTTGATTAACATTCATGATCGAAGCTGATTAGAGCTTATAATGTGTCCCTCCATGTTTCAGATCTTTTCTTGCCCCCTGGTCGTATTTATATGTGCATGCATCATTGTGTGTGACAAATGATCAGTATTCTGTTCGCAAACATTGATATCTAGTTTGAGACTCAGTCTCAGTGGGTTTGTGCACTTTTTTTTAATCACTGGATGTTCCCCGTTCCTCATGGATGGTGTGGCTCTGTTGTGCTCTGTGAGGTGAAAATGGATCCTCAGTAGAGGCACTTAGGAATGAGGAAAAATAGTGTGTCACATATTGAAAAACTCGCAAAGAAACATCAAATATTTGGTAATGGAATTCAGATGCTGGCTGGCTCTACAAATCCCATTAAAACAGCTTTGAGCTTCCTCCATCTCTGAGGAGCAGACTCAAAGCTATTTTAATAGTGCCCAGGACTTCATCATTTTAACAGCAAAAGAGTTCCTGCTCTGTACTAGATACATAATTTGCATGGCATTAGGACCAGATAAAACGAAGATTGCTGCACGACTCAATGGCTCATTTATGCTTTCTCCATACGATAATAGCAATCAACAGATATTTGTTGCTTTTTTCCTGTTCATTTAACTGCTTCTGTGTTGGTTCACTTCAATCATGAGCTGTTTTCCCCCCTCCCTTCCTTTCTTCCCCTGTTTTCTCTCTTCCATCCTCTCCCTCTTCACAGGATTCGGCTTTGTAACTTTCGAGAACGAGGATGTGGTGGAAAAGGTCTGCGAGATTCATTTTCACGAAATCAATAATAAAATGGTGAGTTGCTTTCACCTCTTTGCAATTTTTCAATTCGGGGGCCGGGATGAATATTTGATGCTGGAAGCAGAATGGGTGCTTATAATGGGCAGCGTACAGTGAGGGTGACAGGGCTGCCGTGTGCACGTGGGCGGGGGGGTGTCATCCCTATCCCCGACCAGCCTGCTTTCAAGGGGATGAGGAGTCACTGGTGTGCACCAGCCACAAACCATGAAATTGTGTCTTGGATCCCTGTCTGCCAGGCTGGGAGTAAAGGCCTGTCTCTCTTCCCCCGTTACAATTCCCTCATCCAGGGAAGACTGGGAAAGGATCTGGCAGTCATTCTGGGGGCTTGTTAAAAGTGTGTGGTGCAAAAGATTGAAAGAAGATTTAAAAATCAAAGCCTGGGTGCCTCTTGCATGTTGGTACCTGATGCCCTGTCCTGTGATTTTATGTTTGCTGCTACGGTTCGTATTAGATTTCTCCATGTCTTGCCAAGCTTTTGAGAATGAAAGACAGCAGAGGGACACGGTTCCTGACCTTGAGGCTTCTGCAGGCGAGCCACAGATGCAGCTTGCAGTGCTCGCGACGAATCACGAAATGAGGACAACCCCGGTGTCATTCTACATGACAGCCAGTTAGCAGGATTTTTAATGAAGGTCAGCGCTGTCAGTTAAGTTCAGTTACTTGTACTTACAAATCACTGAGAACAATGAGCCTCCAGGAGTTTTCCATGAGATCGAGCTCAGTACTGATTTGTGCCGTTGATGATCAGCGTTGGGGAGTTAACTAGCCAAATTTGGCTATATTGATTCATTAGAATGACTCAGAAGTAGCTCAGTTGTTACCAAAACAGTTTGTTTTGTGTTTGTTTGTTTATCAATTCTTGATTTAATTCGATTCTAATTAATTTGGGTACATTTCAGTTATGTGTCCCTTTTGCTTATTATATATGAAAAAAATATCTTTCTTTAATGCTGAAAAATGACACAGGACATTGATTTAGACAAATTCAAAACAGTAACAAACATTACAGTAATTCAGTAACTTTTTTTTTAAACTGTCCATTTAAAGAACAGACTTATAAGAATCACTTGTTTTTGTAATCAGGCTACATGTTTTTGATTCACTAAAACGAACCACTCAAAAGAGTGAATTGTTTGTGAATAAAATGAAACTTTTTATTTTATTTTATTTTAAATATAGTGTTTACTATAGCTGTTTATGCTAATTTTTATTGATATGACCCTATTTGAGAGATTTAATTTTTTTATATTTCAAAATTGCTTGTCTACAGTTTAAACTACTATAGTAGTAGTAGTTTCAATTGCAGTTTCCAAATAGCTTTTCCAACCTTGCTGATGACACAGTGTTATCCCAGTATTCCATTTTAAACGTGACAACACAGTGAGACCAGCCTCTCCTGTCTCTCCATTGATTTTTATATGATATTGCATCAAATGTTCTCATTATTCAGTGAGCGTCTAGAGAAAGCCTGAATTTCTTTTCTTCTTTTAACACGTTTCCCCCAGCGTCTCATAGCAGGAACCTCGCTGTTGATCGACTGGCTGTCTTAAATTGGGCCATTGGAGAATTACTTGCATAGCTAATATCAGTCACGAAGGTTTAAGAAAAAGATAAATGTGGCGAAGGGAAAACATTTACTTAAAATGACAGCTTTGTCATGGTCTCTCAGTTCAGATCATTTCTCAGATGGTGCGCAGGGAACGAAAGGCTTAAAAATCAAGAAAAAGGTCAAGGCGTGTTGGGCAGAAACCCATCCTTCCTTTTGCTTTCTTTTGCTCTTCTTACTGATTTCAATTGCCATCATCAAGTTGCTTTTGCCAACAAGATCAAAGTGGTCTCTGAAGCCTCGTCTGCTAGCAGGCCTGTGTGCATATTTGACTTGCTAATTCGACCATGGTAATATTGTTATTATCATGAATATTTTGTACAGCGGACGTAATGATCTCCCTCTGTTTGTGGAAATGTCAGCTTTGTACGTCGACTGCCTGCTTGGTGAGCCGCCATCTTCAGAGGCACCATCTGTGACCCTCGACCCCAGGCTGTGGAGCAGAGAGCGAGCCAGGCTCAGTAGCTGTTTATAGAGAGGCTCTGTTGACCCAGTAAGGCCACTCTCGAGCTGCCAGGGCCCTGGATATCCATAAATGACCCTAAATGGTTCCAGGATCTGGAAAGCTGGACCGGTGGAAGTCTCAACAGACCCCACGTTTCCTGATCAGCCTATTTGATATCTGGCATGGAAATGCAGCCAGACATTAAACATTCAGAAGACATTTCCTTGATCCACAGGCTTGGAGACAGGAACGTAGCATCCAGCAGGCAGGTTAGATCCCACACGAAGAGGTTCTGATGGATCGAGATTACCTTGAAGTGAACTCTTTAGAGATTCATTTGAAATGTAATTCCACTTCAGAAGTAAACCATTTAGCGAGCTGAACACATATTATCGCTTGATTTATTTTATCAATGAAAACAATTAAAACTAAAGCACAGCGCGACTAGTTCCAGATTGAGCAGATATGGTTGGGAATCACTATTAATAGACAGACCCTAATGGTTGTTTTGACTATTTTCCATCCGTTTCGAACAGCACAATCAGAGTCCTGTTACGTCTGTGTGGCAGCTTATTTCTGAAGTCCCATTCCAAACATTCTCTATTTTATCAGGCGTTCCAGAGACTTTTATCCCCCCCAGTACTGTCTGTCATGAAGGAATACTGTGTGAACGTGAGCCGACTGTGTTGGATAAGTGGCTGAAATCACCTGGACAGCTATAAAGCGCCGGAATGACTTCAGCACTCTCCCTGCAGTTTGTCCATTGGAAAATGCCTTCAGAAGAGGCACCGGAGCTGAAAGGAAAGTTTTGTGACCGTAGTTTCTACTGTAGTTAGAGGGGTCATTATGGGTCATTCCTGTCATGTGGCAACTTTTCAACTTCAAACATAACAGAATTGTAATACTAATGAGTTTATATCATATACATATTTTTATAGATGGAAATCAATAATTTTTTTCAATTACAAAATTTAAAAAAATATTATAGAATATGTATATACTGTGTATATATATATACATATACATATACACACACACACTTTTTTTTTTGATTGGGATGTGAAAGTGCACTGCATAGTTGGAATGACTTTTACTATGCCAAATGCTAACAGCTAACGTATAATATGCTAATTAAAGCACTCCCATTTAAAACCCTTAAAACTAAAAATAAATAAGTACCCAGTCTCACTAATCGACTAGTGGGATGTTGGAGCATTGTGACCCACAGCTGAGTGAGGGAGAGTTCAATAACAGGCTAATTTTAGGTCCCGGCCCAGGAAGTGTTATTTATAGTCTGGTGGCTGTTTGACACCATGGAAGAAGTGACTGTATCCTGACCCCATGTAAACCCTCTCTCTGGGAGTTCTCATGGACATATGACTGCACATGTTATCTCCCTCTCTCTTTTTGATTCTCTATCACTGCCTCACTCTCTCCCTCTGGGAATCATCACCTCTCCAACCTTGGAACAGTATGGACTGCATAAGTCATCTCTCGGCACATCATATTCAGGAACACATCCTTTCCTTTAGCCGTCCGTTACTAAGCGATCAAGTACTCAGTCAGTACCCTCCTCGCCCTTAACACGTAAAGAGCAATGCCGCACCAGACCCATGCGTGCCTGCGGCAGAATGATGTGAATTCTGTGCTCATGTCCTCCCTGGCAGTGCCCTTGCCTCCTGCGGGCAGTGTGGAGGTTGTCGCTCTCATTTCTGTTACCGTTCCCACCCTTCCTCTCTCAGTGTGCCCCAGCCGCCCAGCCAGGATTGCCGCCTGCCCACAGCGAGCCGGGCCATTAGCATGTATGATAAGTGCAGAGTGTGTCGGCAGGCCAATTTAGTGTCTGCCTTGCCGCGCTGAGGCCCCGGCCTGCGCTATCATTGGAAGATAATCTACCGCTGTGAGGAGAGAAGAGGGAAAAAGTGGCAGTTCAGGATGGGAGAAAATGACTCCTATTTTCCCACCCTTTTTTTTTTTTTTGGCCTGAAGGCTCGTGGCTCTCTGAAGCTATCTTCAAGATGTGGTGCAAACAGCGGTGACAGTGCAGAGTTAGTGTGCTTTCATGCCTGCTTCATTTAGCAGCCGCTTACAGAGTCTCAGTCTGTTTAAATATTTGGTTTTGCTGAAAAATGTCGGATTATAAAATATATATGTGTGGTTCAAAAGCGCAAGTCATTTTTAGCTGAAATATTTCTGGCCACAGCAGCAAATACAAAAGTAAAACTAGTGTGTAGATCATCTGTAATCTATAAATATACATTTCTTAAAGGGAGAGTCCACTAGAAAGTGAAAATCATTTACTCACCCACTTGTCATTCAAAACTTGTATCACTTGATGGAACACAAAAGATAATATTTTGAAAAGACAATTGTTTTGGACCCCATTGACTTTCATTGTAGGAACAAAAACAATTCTTATTCCTCAAAAGAAAGTAATGGAAGAATTCTCTGTACAGCACAAAATGATTTGCAAAACACAAGCAATATGGGGAAATATGTTTGTAAATGACTTAAACAGTAAATGAAGGAAACTAACCAAAGCAGGTGTAAAAACCTTTAATAGGACTCATAATTTCTTTTTCTTTTTGTGAATAGCAGCTATTGCGTTTCAACGTGTGTCTGTTTATTTGTCCCCCTCTCTAATCACTCAGATCTGTTTAGGCCTTTTTATCTAATAGATGTTTATTGTCGCTTTGTGTGCAGTGACTGTAGATGTATTTACACACTCCTGCCACAGTATCTTAAGAGTAGGTTGGGCTAATGGAAGGGGATTGTGATATTTGAAAAGATTACAGTAATTCAGCTAGTTGTAATGGAGCAGGCTGTTTCCGGAGAGCTCTCAGAGATCTGGAAATGTCACAACAAAGAAAGGAGGAGATTCAGCACATTCGTGGCTTAAATAGAAGGGCGGACTAAACCAGAGGAAAAAGGGTGCGAGTGTGT